CACCAACGTCACGCCTCTGGCGAGTTGCCTTATCACCAAAATTATATCTTTTTGTATATAAATTAATAAAACCCTACGATTCACCCCGTAACAGTATAGATTTCATTCGATTCTAATCGCGGGATCATGAGATATCCTGATTCGTCATAATAATTTTAGATACAGTATTCTACATGACGAATCGGGGTTATCTCGTGATCCTGTGATTAGATTCGGATGAAATTTATACCATTTGATTCCTCTCGATGAGAGGAATCGAATCAGGGACGGTGAATATTTCCATTAAGAATAAAATGGAATAAAATGAAATTATTATAGCCAATCAAATCTGAAATTATTCCAAAAATTAAAATTTGATTGGATACTTAAAATTTATTGATTATTCCAAAATATAATGGAATTTTATTACAGAAGTATTCATCGTCCCTGAATCGAATGGTGTAAATTTCATCTGATTCCGATCACGGGATCATGAAATAATCCGATTCGTCATAATACCCCCTTCGTCATAATACCCATATTTACCTTATAATATATTTTATAGATTAAGGGCGTTCTCAAGCACCTACCTCAATGGACTCAATAACTAATTTGATTGGTCTGTTTGTTCAAACTAGCCAATCAGATTTTTTATTGAGTTCATTGAGGTAGGTGCTTGAGAACGCCCTAAAAGTAGTTGAAGAATAAAATATACAAATCGAAGAAATGCAAACGTTATTGGTTGAGCGTGTTCAAGAACAATTCTTTAAAAAACATGAGCATGGCCGAATACTCAAAGAACGAAATCGTATAGAGATTGGTTCGAAAATACTGAGACTCAGTTAGTTGCTCTTCGTGAACAAAGTGTAAAAAACGAAGAAGAAAAAGAGAAAAAGAAGAGAAGGGAGCAATATTTCATTGCTTAAAAAAAGTCTTAGATTGCTAAAATAAAAGGCGAAAGGAATTAAAGAAAAAAGTCTTATTTTTGGAAGGCTAAAATAAGAAGCGAAAGAATTAGCCGAATGTTATTTAGAAGCTTCAGTGAAGGTCCGTAATGTTGCTAAAAATCGTATAACAAACAAGAAAGTAAAGTAAGTATGACAAATACATATAATTTGGATGGTTTTTGCTAGGGTTCTTCAACGCGAGTTTTTTTTAACTAATTATAATGGGCCATTGATTTGCTATTGATTCCGGGAGAGTGATTATTATGTGTCTTTCTTTGCTCGTCTAGTGTGCTGGACGGCTCAGTATATCAGCTTTTGTAGTTGAACTGTCGGTTGCGTCCTGCATGTTGCCATCCTGATTTTAGTTGTCACTTGATCCACTTATCATGAAATATTTTCTTATCTGATGTTTTTTTTTTGATATTAATGATTTTGGTAAGAGCAACTAAAGATACTAAAGAGAGAAAACACTACGAAAAGGTAATTTTACGGGAGAGAAATAAGTTTGGAAATCGGAGATTTTTAAGAATCACAGAACTTTGCAATAATAAAAAAAATAATTTATTCAAAATGTATGCAGTAATGTTAAGTATGCATTTATAATAGGTATATACGTGGTTTAATCTTAAACTTTAATAAAAATTATGATAATTGATAATTATCGATACAAGAAATTACTAAGTTTTTCGCACATAGATAAAGTTGGCAGGTAGGGTTTTTTTGGATTTTAGGATTTTTGGACAATAATTTAGGATAGCTTCTAAAAATAAAGCTATGTATCCGAAAATAGAAGATTCTACCTAGGGTGTTCAGGATTATGCAATGCGAAATTATAATTAACAGTATATGTATATTTTTTAAAAGGAAAGTAAATAATGCAGTACAGCACTTCGACAAACGGTATTATCGTTACAGCTTGCAGTTTTATAGAATTGCGGCATTGCAGCTCATAGCAATTACGGCAAAAAATACGCCATAATCGTATTAATTTGTAAAACCAATCAATTCTACCACCGACTATAACTTTGACCCATTAATTGAGGCGTTTAAAAACGTCCACAAATATACCAAAGTCAACATATTATAAGAGAGTTAAAAGGTTTCATGCATTTCTTGAAAATAATTAAATTTCAGTCAATTCACAAAAAAAAAAAAATCTACTTTCAACCAAGGCTAACTATAAGTCAGGACAACCTTAACATAAACCAGGCTAACTTTGTCAGTGACATTGGCAAATTAGTTTATGCCATTTTGGGGTACCACAAAATCCCAAAAGACAGATTCCCGAAAGGATCTATCGGTAGTACCGACTAAGTTAGCCGGCATTAGTTATAATGTCGGCCAATTTAGTCGGTAGGTATTATGTTCTGTACCATTCGGTAAAATAGCATATCAGTAAAATAGACATTCATTTTTTTAGAATTCAGTGAAATGAAAATTGCAGACAAATGACTTATCGGTAAAATTTATTTTCAGTTAAATGAAATTTCGATAAAATGGGATTTTCGAAATTATGTCTTGTTAGTAAAATGGGATATCAGTATTATGACTTCAGTGAAATGGTATTTCAGTAAAATTGATTTCGGGAAGTTAACCCGTAACCCAAGTAAAGTCATCAATCCAAGTATTGACCCTAAAATTTTAAACTTCATCTCATATTTCAGTATTTGATTTCATGCTGCATTTTACAATTTATTGGATTAGGACACAGAATCTTTATTTTTATTTTTTTATTTTTTTTTTACTTCTTTACCTAATTAAAGTTAATCAATTCCGCTTTTTAAAAATGATTTTTTGGATCAATTAAAATTTTTTATAAGCAAATCTTCTAATTGTGAAGTTTGCCTTAAAACTTTCGTATATAAACGTAACTTTTTTTGCATATGAACTTCTAATATCAACTTCTTGATTAGAAGGTTGGCTTATAAAAATTTTTATTCGAGTTGACAATAGGTCAACAGATCGAAAAGACAAGTGTTTTGGGCGCGAATACTAATATAGCCAAATTTGCCAAGTGTTGTAACCATGGGTGAGATTTAGCTATTATAAGGTCATATTAGCTTAGGGTTACAAGCGGGATGGATGTTTAGATTTAATGATTAAAGAATGTAGTTTAGTTAGTAGGTAAGGTCATATGTTATTAATAGCTTTTATTATACGGATCATGCCGAATTTATAAATTTAATCGAAACGGCCGAAAAATCATTCAGCTAATTTTATCGGTGTCCCAGAATATGATAATAGCTGTAAAGAAATTAAATAAGGCTTGAATATCCAGTGCTATTTAGGCTGGAATGCATATGTGCAGTTCTTTTCGTAGGCATAAAAAAATAGGTTAAAAAGCGTAATTTATTAGCTAGATAAAATGTGAATATTATTAAAAATTAAAAACTTTATGGAGTGAAACTTCCTTTTATATATAAAACCAGTGTTCATAAGAACCTGTTATGAATTTGTGCACAGTATAAATTTTTATTTTTTTTTTTTTTTTTTACTGTTCATTATTATTAATTTTTTTGTGAATATAAAAACAATATTTTGAGAAAATCTAGTTATTATACTGTTCTCATGAGAACAATATTTGAGTCTGAAATTTTAAATATTTTCAACTAAAGAATATTAATAATTCAATTCCAATAACATATTAAATACTTCTGTCTTCTATCATGTCAACACAATCAAACACTATAGCGAGTAAGTTAACAGTATAACTAATAAAAAAGTTTATTATCATCCAAACATTACTACATTTTTAACATCAAAGAAATAATTATACTAAACAAAGAAATTAATCTAATGTAAACAAAAAGATAGCAGGCTCCCTAATTTCTCCCCCAAGTTCTGATTGGACGATGATATACCATCTCCAATTGGATAAAATAAAGGGGAATTTACAAATAAGGGCCTGAAAGTGAAAATAATTACAAATACGGGCCCAAATTAAAAATAAGGGCCTAATTTTTAAAAAATATTACATATAAGAACTGTGGCGCTATTGGCTTGATCGTTACTAGTATAAGAAACGTAAGCATTACATAAAAAATGTAACGATCGATTGTAAATTTAGTAATTATAAATGAGAATTAATTTTAATTTTCTTTGTATGAAATTGCTTATTGTTATAACAAACCACTATGATGTCAAGTAAAACATTGTGAATTGGCATGGCATTTATTAATATGGAAGATATTCGTTCAGCTCTAGAGAGCTACTTTGTTGAAACTTCGCCTTATGAATAATTGTCTAGTTTAACGCTATTTTTATGCGAAAATGATTATAACTACCACTTCATTTATCCTTTTATCTAATAATCACTATATGGATAGTTTATAATAGAGCAATCTATAATCCTATTAATTGCGATTTTGCTATCATTATAGTTCATCAATAAATTTGGGCCCTTATACTTTTTAAAAATCAGGCCCTTATATGTAATCATTTTTAATTCAGGCCCATATTTGTAATGGGTGAAAATCTCGAATTTCATGATGATTTAATATGTAATTAGGCCAATTTAGATGATTTAACTACCATTAGATACATCTTAACAAACTCTACAAAAGTTTCTTAAGTTAGAAGAGTGGTTAACTTAGTATAAAAAAAGTTTTAGATATGTGCATGTCACATTCACAAAACTCTAATTTCTATAAGTAATTCACATCATGTGTTACTATGATCACTCTCTGGTTAACTCGTGGATAGTGTTCCTATGAACCTGAACTGAACTGAACTTTGGTCAAGTTCAGGTTCAGGTTCAGTTCAATTATGTTTAATATTGAACTTTTAAGTTAAGTTTGTGTTCAGTTCAGGTTCAATATTGAACTTTTAAGTTAGGTTCATGTTCAGTTCAGGTTCAGTATTGAACTTTTAAGTCAGGTTCATGTTCAGTTCAGGTTCAGTAGTGGTTTATAGTAAAATTTTTTAAAATTTTTAATTTTAAAGATTTTTAAAAAAATCTTTTTTCTTTACTAAGTAAATCTATTTTCAACTTCTAAGAAAAGTTATAGAGAAGTGTCTTGTGATCATAATGGTAGTTAAAAAATTAAAATCGGCCCAGTAAATCGCGAGATATAAGTATTTTAGTTCTCGTGGCTATATATTTTCTTTATATAAATAAAGAAGAAACAAATAGCCATTAAGACAAAAATACTTATATCTCGTGATCTACTAGGCAGATTTTAATGATTTAACCGCTATTTTGATTGCAAAATACTTCTCTACAACTTTAATTAGAAGTTAAAGAGAGATTTACTTAGTAAAAATTTAAGATCAATACCATTTTGCATAATTTTATTAATAAAATTATAAAAAATCATATAATTCTCAAACTTTTACTAATTAATTATATCTTTATATTCTAAGTAAACTTGTTTTACACATAAAACTACACCATATCTATATATGTTTGCATTATAATTTTAAATTTTAAAAAAAATATTGTTAATTTTGCAAATTTTGATTATTAAGCATATGTTTCTTAAATTTTATTAATATAATATTAATGATGCCAATATTATGTATTTTATGCGCAGAACAAGTTTGCTTAGAACATAAATATAGAATTAATTAATAATATTTTGAGAATAATAATGTTTTTCATAATTTTATTAATAAAATTATAAATAATTATATTATCCTCAAAATTTTATTAATTAATTATATATATATACTCTAAGTAAACTTGTTCTACGCATAAAAATACATCATATTAGTACATATTTATAAAATCTAAGAAAAATATGCTTAATTTTGAATTTTTGATCAAAATTTTCAAAATTAACAATATTTTTCTTAAAATTTAAAATTATAATATAAACATATATTGATATAATGTAGTTTTATGTGTAGAACAAGTTTGCTTAGAATATAAAGATATAATTAATTAGTAAAATTTTGAGGATTATATGATTTTTTATAATTTTATTAATAAAATTATGCAAAATATTATTAATCTTAAATTTTTACTAAGTAAATCTCTC